AGTTGAATTGCGTTCATGCAATTCAGTAGCCAAACAGACAAAGCTAGTAACTTAATACCTCCATTACTCTTCCTTCTAAGTCTTTCTGAGCTTCTCTTGCCCTCTTTTCCCTCACCTCTCCCACTTCTAAAAACCCTCCTCCTTGTGGACTTGCCTACCTTATTTGTATTGCTGTGGTTGTTTTGTTTTTTCTTAGGGTACTCCCCAGCCTGTGTTTGTTAGTTGCAATTTTTCCTAACTCTTAACAATTTAATTTGTTTGCTCAGTGTTAGAAAACTGCCCATACTTGTCTTGGGAAATGAAATGCTAGTTTGACTGTCACGGTGTTTGCTTTACATTCTTGATTTTTAAAAAAATTATCACTCTTGATTCTATACTTAAGTGATTTAAAATTTGCGTTGAAATACATTATTAATAGTTATCAAAGAAGTTTCTGCATTCATTGACTCGTAAAACAGTATGTACCTCAAAAAGTCATTTAGAGTTAGATCATCTGTATTTTTTCAACCAAAAATCTGTGCTGAGTCATATTTTAGGGTAGAATGATGAAGCTGAGGTATTTTCATTCAAATTGTATCCTAAATGTCTGTTTAATTTACTCAGTGAACTGTAGTGCTATTTATGGAATTTAACCATTTTGGATAGGTAGACATATATAATTTTGAGACTCTTTGAAACCATTAAAGAAAGGAAATTTTGGAGAAAATTGAAGCAGTTTCCTCTTTTCCCTTTACTGATCTTTTTCATGATGTTATTTTAGATACCCAAGGGTATATGTTTATAGCTTGATTGAATGTCCATATTAGGTGCACAGTAATTCTCCCCTTAATGGTGAGTTGGCTTATATGAAATGTAGCAGAACAGATTTACTTATGCATATCCCTCCTCAACTATGAACATTTTTGAGTGAATAATGATGAATTTTCAGTCATGTTTAATAGGGATGGTTTGAAAAGGGAAGACTTGAAGCTTGAGTCAAAAGAAAAGTTGGCAACTTGGGTGGCAGAACTAGGGTAGAAATTCTGAAATGTAGCCTTAGAAGAGCTCAAACAAAGTGAGGCAGAGTAAATCTGGGCGTTAGAATGGACCTATTTCTTCTGTTAGGGAGGTAGGGTGGGGAGGAGGAGGAAGCCACACTTACATTATAGAGCTGACAGAGTCTGAACAGTATACTTGGCTTTGTTCCTGGGAGCTCCAAAATGAAGTTAATGGTGAAAGTAGAGGTAAGCTATATAACTTTGAATATTAGGGAGAGTGTTTGATTGATTATACTTAATACATGGGTTAAATAAATGTGGTCTAAATCTTTTTCTAATTCAAGTTTTTCTTTGTGGTCCCAGAAGAATTTTAAAAATGTGCATTTTTTTCCTGATTGCAAAAATAGCATATATTGTCCATAACAATTTGGAAAAGTTTAAAAAATATGAAAGTGAAAGTAGAAATTACCTGTGCTTCCAGTAATCTCTGTTAGCTTTCTGAGTCTTCCTTTTGGTATTTTTTTCTACTCCTATGTATGTTTAATGATGTGTTAAAAACATTTTATTTTAAAAGTAATACATGGTTGTTGTAAACAACATACAGCATCCTTTTGATGCTATACCAAAACTTGACAAGTGGTAGTTTCTTAAAGGTGAGATGCAATGTAGAGTTAGGAGCCTATTCTCTCTTACATTAAAATCCATTGTACTTTAATAGATCATTTACCTGTGCATGATTTTGTAAATACGTGCATTAGCCTTTTGGAAAATACTCATTCACTGAGTTGTACAGATTTTCAAGTATTGACACATTTCATAATCCAAAATTAGATCATAATCACAAAAAATTTTTTAAGTGTTGGGAAGTAAGGTCATCCTGGTGGATATAAATGTTGCAAAATTCTAATTTTTACTCAAAAACTTGAATTTATTTTATTATAGTGGCAAATAGGAACAAGCAGTTATTTCAGTTTCTCTTGAAGTAACAGATTCTCTTGTTCGAGAATGCCTTTTATTTCTTTTTTTTTTTGCTTGATTGCACTGTTGAATAGAAGAGGCGAAAGTGGACATCCTTGTCTTGCTCCCAGTCCTAAGTGGAAAGCATTCAGTCTTTCACCATTAAGCATGTTGTGAGCTGTGAGTTTTTCCTTTTTTTTCTCCCAGTTTTATTGAGATGTAATTAACATACAGCACTGTATAATTTTAAAGTGTACAGCCTAATGATTTGACTTAGATTTGTAGTGAAATGATTACTACAATAAGTTTAGTTAACATCCATCATCTCATATAGGTACAAAAAAAACGAAAAAGAGGAAAAAAAAGTTTTTTCCTTGTGATAAGAATTTTTAGGATTTACTCTCCTAACAACTTTCAGTATACCATACAGCAGTATTAACTACAGTCATCATGTTGTACATTACATCCCTAGTACTTATTCATCTTATAACTTGAAGTTTGTACCTTTTGGCTACCTTTCTCCGGTTCCCCCTCCTCCCACCCCCAGCCTCTAGTAACCACAAATCTGATCTTTGAGTTTTTCTTAGATGCCCTTTACCAGGTTGAGGAAGTTATCTTCTATTCCAGATCTGCTGAGAGTTATGTCAAATGCTTTCTTAGCATCTGTTAAGATGATCTTATGGATTTTCACATTTATTCTGTAATTATGGTGAATTATATTGGTAGATTTTTGAATTTTAACCCTGGGTTAAATATTCCTTGATCATGATGTCTTGTTCACACTTATATCCGTAATATCCAACCCAGTCTCATTAGTATGTAGTGAATGTTCAGTAAGCATTTGTTGAATTAATTAACACAGTGAGATTCCTTAAATGGTTTTGTATTTTTGGAAACCTTTCAAAATGTTTGAAAAAATCAGTCACTTAATAAACCAAAATATATTGCTAATCTACTCAGAGATCATTTCACAACTTCAACTGTTAAGAATATAGATGGTGACTCAGAAGGAAGTAGAAAAGCCCTTACACAGAATCTCAGAACCTGTTTATTTTTACCTTCTATATATAGTTCTAACAAGCTTGATGATCTGGTTTCCTTGCACCCTACACATCAGAAGTAACAAACTAAAGAGTGGAAATGAGTTATTAGAGATTGCTAAATTAAGAGCCTAAAAGTTAACAATTTTCAGTGGCATAGACAGGAAGAAAGCATTGTAGAAATAATTTTAAAAGCTTAGTAGCTCAGAACTTTTGATAAGTCTTAATTGCAGTTCCAGGCTCTTAATGTATATAGCCTAGTAAAGCAGTATTTCAGAGTTAGAGTAAACTTTAGTGAGCCTCTCATCCGCTATTTCTGAGCCTTTTTTCTGCTTTCAGACGTATGAGGGGTAAGAATGGCTCACGCTAAGATAATGATTCCTAGTATCAAGGAGCAATGTTAGGAGGCAGTGCTGACATACCACATGGGAGTGTATGAGAATGTCTGTTTCCGGGGAGGGGCCATGTATACAATTGGAACTTCTCTCCCTTCCCCCACCCCTGCCATAGTTATATTTTCTTACCTCCCTGTCCCCAGATGTTCTGCTGCCTCACTCATCTTCACATTTGAGGAAAACTGGTCTTATCCAAACTACTGATATTATAGATAAGCAAACTGAAGCCCACTTGAGAGGTCGAATGGTTAATATCAGGCCAAACCGTGAACCTAGATGTCCTGGCTTCTAGTTAAGTGTTTTCTGTTCTGCCCATGCAGTAATTAATACTCAAAATGATAGAGTAAACGACAAAAATGAAATTATATTCTCCAAACTCTATTTTAAAAAGAGTGAGAAGGTTTTATCATATTTTAGAAAGATTTTTTTCCCTTCTAAAATTACTACAAAAAAACCCACTTGGAAGTAAAACTGAGACATTTAAGATGGAAGTTCATTTCCTCATGACAAATAAATAGATAAATGCAATGTTAAGACAAATTGATCACCTATTATATGTTGGTTTATTGGGAGTCTGTTAGTTCTGAAAATAAAATACAGATGATTTCTGTGCATTTAGACTTTATATTTGGAGTTTGTTATTTTGTATTGTCACATAATGAATTATTTAGTAATTAGTGGCATAGAACAAGAGACTTTATTGTCTCCCAGTTTCCATGGGTCAGGAGTCCAGGCGTGGCTTAGCTGAGTCCTCTGTTGAGGGTCTTGCCGGGCTGGAATCACGGTGTAAGCCTGGACTGCGATCTTATCTGAGGCTGAATTGCCTTCCAAGTTCACTGGTTATTTCCAAAATTCAGTTTCTCATGGCTGTAGGATTGAGGCTGTCAGTTCCTAGGGCCTGCCCACCGTTCCTTGGCATGTGGCCCCCTTCAACAACATGGTAGTTTGGTTTTTTAAGGCCAATAGGAGAGCTTCTCTTGCTTTGTGTATCTCTGACTTCTAGATGCTCCTTTTAAAGGGCTTACCTGATTAAGTCAGGCCCACCAGAATAATCTCCCTTTTGATTAATTTGAAGTCCACTGATAAGGGCCTTAGTTCTATCACCTTTGCCACATAACATAACCTAATCACAAAAGTGAAATCCGGGAATCTTGCCCACACTCGGGGAGGGCATCATACAGGGTGTGTACACCAGAGGATGGGAATCTTAGAGAGTGATCTTAGCATTATGCCTACTGCAGGGTTATTAAAGAGAATTCCTTTGTTCAGTAAAAATTGAGTCTTTGCTATGTGCCAAGCATTTCTCTAGGCCATGGGAATCCCAGGCTAGAATGCCTAGTTCCTGTCTGTGGTAAGGTGGTGGAGACCAACAGTTTAGCACTGTTTATAATGTAGTTCAGTAATGCAGCTGCAATAGAGGTGTAATGTGGCTACACTGTGAACATCCAGAAGAAGGTATAGAGAGGGAGGAGGTTTGGTCAGGAGAAGTTTATTGTGTATGGAAAAAGTAAAAATACTGCTATAGTTCTTGAAACTACAAAATTAAAAGAAATTGTTTATTGATTTTCTAGGAAGAAAAGTTTGATATTTAAGATGAAGAAATTATTAAAATCCTTTTTCTTTTCCCCCAGATGGTATACCTCAAGTTTACTATTTTGGCCCTTGTGGTAAATACAATGCTATGGTGCTGGAACTGCTAGGACCTAGTTTGGAAGACTTGTTTGATTTGTGTGACAGAACTTTTTCTCTTAAAACGGTTCTCATGATAGCTATCCAACTGGTAAGTAAAGCAGGATGTTTTGAAGTTGTTTGAACAATTTTGTGGCTCGTTTGGTCACAAATTTATATTAAAAGTTTAAAGTTTTGCGACATTATCTTACAGGGCATTCAATCTAATAAAAATGTTTCTGCTTTTCCTATCATTGCCTTTTTAGAATGCATGTAACTTAAAATAACTGAATTGAGTGTTTTACTTGTATGAAAGAAGACTTTATTTGAATTTTGTTTATGATGAGCCGGGACGTCATCAAAGAGTTGACACTTTAAGATCAGAATGCTCAGTTTGAGAATTCACTTGTTTCCAGCATTCTTTTCATGTAGAAGATAAATACTTAGAAAAGAGATCCGTGAGAAATACAGATTCTTAGTCTTGGTAATAAATTCTAACAGCCCAGAAAAAGAAGGAACAAACTAATGAGAGAGTCTTATAAATTATTTAAATTTCAGTGAACTTATGGGGAAACAACTTAGAGGATGATTTTAAGGCAGATTTGAAATAAATGCCAAAAAAAGTATGCTGCAGAAGTCTTAAAATTGTTTGTATCCATAGACTCATTAATTCCACCTCTGCAAATGTATCCTATGGAAGTATTCAGATGTACTTAAAACTTTTTGTGCAAAAATGTTTATAATAAGATGGGAAATAACCCAAATGTACGGAAATAACTGAGTTAGTGGAATAAATTATTAATAGCCATAAAATAATAGGCAGCCATTAAAGAGTGTGTTTTAAAAGAATGTTTCATGACCTTGAAAATCTTCATATCATTAATTAAAAATATAGGTCGTAGAATATTACATATTACATAATCCAAAATTTATTAACAAATAAAATGGTCTGACTGTTTACATTGCATTGCCAACCAGTATTATCATTAAATGAAGCAATTTTATTTATTTATTTGTAATGTTCTATTTTGTGACAGTTTATACAATGAATGCTATTTGAGAACATGTAAAGCAATTAATAAAAATGTACTATATTATAATTGGAGTTGTATTCCAAAATTTTCTAATTTCAAGATCTTTTTAAATGTTTAATACCTAAGGAAAAAGGTAAAGAAAGCAAGTTATAAAAAAGAAAAAGAAAGATATACTGAAGGGTGCTGTTAATTGTTTTTATTTAACAGTTTAGACTCTTTAAGTTTCTTTAATATAGTTGTGAAAGTTGCTCGATTATTGAACTGATAAGGAATAATAAATTGTAACTTTATCAATATGTCTGTTTATACTTTTCAGTTCAAGATTTTGTATCAGTAAAACTTTTGATTTTATGAGGTAGCATCATCTCAGTGTTGATTGTATCAGACTTACTGATATGAAAGGAATTCATAAAATTCAAACACTTTCATTTACAAGTGACCATAATGGTAAAAGCAAAGATTTTTAGTCATAATTGGATATGTATATTTGAGAAACTATACACAGATAGCATGTTACTTTTAAAGGGTTGAAACAATTTCTGATTTTTTTCTTGCCTCTATCGTGCTTTTTTATGCTAATCAAAGCATAAAATTTTCTTTTTTTTTTTTGAATCCAGATTTCTCGCATGGAATATGTCCATTCAAAGAACTTGATATACAGAGATGTAAAACCTGAGAACTTCTTAATAGGACGACCAGGAAACAAAACCCAGCAAGTTATACATATTATAGATTTTGGTTTGGCAAAGGAATATATTGATCCGGAGACAAAGAAACACATACCATACAGAGAACACAAGAGCCTTACAGGAACAGCTAGATATATGAGCATAAACACACATTTAGGAAAAGGTATGTGTACCTTTCGTAAGTATGGATGTTTGAATTCAGTAACTATGCTAACAGTATGAGTTTTTATGTTATTATGATTCAGTTTTTGCAGGTTACAGTTGCATCTATTGTAATTTTTATTTATCACATCTAACTAGAATTTACTTTTATTTATATTTAATAAAACTCTTAAACTTGGTCACTCTGTAGTAAATTAATGACAAATCTTTACATTCACTATCTCTTTTTTTCATATGATAACTTGAAATGTTCAACTTTGATACAGTTAGGGTAATGCATTTGATTATTTCCTATTAAAGAATAAGAGAGAATACTTTTTAACAGAATTTAGTGTGTACAAAGATTTTAGTGAGACTAGAGCTCTCTGATCCAGCTATCCAGGGAGATAGCAACCTGCCTTCATACATTTACTGCTAAGAGTACATAAATACTGTTTACTGTGTACTAGCTGTATGATTTTGGGCATATTATTAACCTTTCTAAAGCTGTTCTTCTTTGTAAAGAGGGTAAAATAATATCAACCTCACAGGGTTTCTTATGTTTTTTTTTTGCCCTGGTCCAGGATCCAATCCAAGGTCACACATTTCATTTATTTGTCATATCTCTTCAGTCTCGTCTCATCTGGAACAGTTCCTCTCCTCTCTTTGTGGTTCATGACTTTAATATTTTTGTGGAGTACAGGCTATTTTGTAGAATGTCCTCACTTTGGATCTGTCTGATATGATTATATTTGAGTGTGCATTTTTAGTACAAATATCATAGAAGTGATTTGTTCTCAGTGCATCATGTCAGGAGGCACATGATGTCACTTGGTTTCTAGTAGCTTTGATTACTTGCTTAGGGTGGTGTCTGCTAAGTTTCTCCACTTTAAAAGTTTCTTATTTTCCCTTTGTAATTACAAAGTATTTTCTCAGTAAATCTTTCAGATTATGTAAATGTGTTGTTACTCATCAAATTTTTGCCCACTAGATTTAGCATCCATTGATGACTTTATAACTCATTTTATTGATATTCTAAAGTAAGCAAAAGCTTTTCCTTCTTCCCCCATTTATTGACTTATATCAATATGGACTCATGGATTTTTATTGTATTGAATATATTATAGTGCATTACTATCATTATCTATTATGATGCTCAAATTGTCCCAGATTTGGCCACTGGTGGTTCTTTCAAGTTGTCTCCTCTGTCCTTTTGGCATGTTCTTATGGTTCTTTGAGAACTTCTTTACTTTCTGGTGCAACAAGTTTTTCCAGATTCATCTTGTAGTTTCTCTGCTCTAGCCCAGAAAGAGACATTTCTCCAAGAAGCCCTGGGTCCTTTTATTGGATAAGGGTATGTAGAAACCAAGATTTGGGCACTGGGTATGCATTGCTAATTGGTATGTTATTGCTTCTACGCCCGTTTTGCAGCAGAACTAGGAAGTGTGTGTGTATGTGAATATACACATACCTACACATGTGTATGCACATATATACATATATTAATCTATCTGTTAAAAACCATGAGTTTATATTGATACTTCTAATTTTAGTCTAATACCACAAACTAGTGTCCCCCCTTTTCGTATTTGTGATTCCCTCCCCTTTTCTATATTTATCTCTTTCTTTTCCAACAGTGAGAAATCTGTCTACCACTACTCTAATATATGCACTCATTTTTAAGAAGCCAAAGTTACTCAGAATGTAGTTTCAGATTTGGTAATTGATAACACTTTGTAAAGCGAGGTTACTAGAATTGCAATATTTGTAATTCTTATTTTATTGAAGAGTTCTTTTTCAAATAGAATTAAAATTTACAGTGAATAAAGTACACAGTATGTGAGTATATAATTTGTAAGCATTGACAAGTGGACACACCTGTAAACCTATCAAGATTTAGAACACTATCATCACCCTTTAGATTTCCTTCTTGCTCTTTCTTAGAAATCTCCACCTTCTCCAAAAGCAACCATTGATCTGACTTCTATCACCATAGATTAGGTTTTCTGATTCTCTTACTTCACATAAATGAAATCATCTGACTTCTTTCCCACAGTGTAATATGTATGAGATTCATGTATGTTGTTGCAAGTATCAGTAATGTGTTCCTTTTTATGGCTGAGTAGTATTCCATTGCATAAATATACTACAAATTGTTTATCCATTCTAATGTTGTTGGAACATTTTGATCATGAAGTTTTTTACTATTATAATAAAACTGCTGTGGCATTCTTGCAAATCTTTTAGTGAGCATATGTTTTCAGTTCTTTTGGGTAAAAGCTAAGATTAGAATTTGTTGCGTCATATGCTAGGTATTGTTTAACTTTATAGGAAACTGTCAATCACTTCCCCCAAAACGTTCGTATCATTTTCTGTTTCCACCGGCAATGAATGAGAGTTGTTTGTTTCACGTTCTTGACAACATTTGATGTTGTCAGTCTTTTTCATTCTAGCTGTTCTTTAGTGGATATGTAGTGGTATTTTATTTCCTTGTGACTGATCATTTTGAGCACTGTTTCCTGGGCTATTGACCATTTGTATATCTTTTGTGACATGTGTCATTTATTGTTGATTTGTAGGAATTCTTTATATATTCTGAATATAACTCCTTTGCCAAATTTATGCTCTGAATATTTTCTTCTAGTCTGTGGCTTGTCTACTCTTTCTTAATGGTGTCAATTGATGAGCAACAATTGTAAATACTTATGAAGTCTAATTTATCAGTTTTTTCTTTTATGATTACTACTTTTGAATCCTAAGAAAATGAAGACATTTTATATCTTCTTATATAATCTAGAAATAATTTTTTGTATGGTGTGAGATAGGGGTTGAGGTTCTTTTTATGATACCATATTCCTTCCCATTGAATTACTTTTGTGCCTTTCTAAAAAAATAATTTCTAGATTGTGTTTACAATAGTTCAGTCTTAAACCACAGTCAGTTTTCATATCAGAGGAAGTCTGGCTTAATTTTCTGCTTTTAGATTCTCTCTCTGCCATCTCACTCACAAGAGAGAATAGACAGGAATGTAAACCAACCAGTATTTGTCCATCATCCCTGCTCTAACCGTACCTTACAGTATGCAGTCACAATTTGTATAGCACCATAGAAGTCATCTAAGCTAATCTTTAACTCCTGGTCTTAGCTGCTTCTCTAACCGTTCTTCCCAGACTTGTCTGCTATACACTGCATGTCCTTGCTTCTCTTCCTCTCAGTCAGGACTAAGTAGCACTTGGTATCTTCCCTGACAGCCTGCCTGACGGTAGGCTCATGGTATTTTTTCCTTTCAGATGTCAGAAATGCCTGAAAAATGTAAATTTGCCTTTCTTTAAGAAAAGCAAGTTTCAGACTTCTAAAATTATAAAGCACGGTTGTTTTCAGGTAATTTTGGGGGTAGTGCCTTTCAATAGCAAATTTTCCCTCATAGATTTAAAATATGATTGGGTAGATATTACAACTTTCAGGATTGTGTCCTCTATTAAAACCAGGCACACCTGTATTTACATGAACAGTATCTGTGAGAAATTTTTGTTTCATGGTAGTCGTTAACAGACTATTTTATAACAACTAACAAAGGTTCACCACTAATTTATTGTGAGACATGAAGTCACAACTTCCTAATGGCCTAGTGTTCTTCATCTGAACAATGGTAAATGTAACAGCATTCTATTTGTAGCAATGGCAAAGTGAGTCTATGTTTGTCCTTGTTAGGAAAAGCCTTCAGAGCTTGGGAAATGGCATTTAACTATTGTAGTAATCTCTTTTCACTCCTCTTTCAGGAAGAAAACAGAAAATTATTTCTTTGGGCAGTATTGCAAAGAACAAAAGCTTTAATCTTTATTTTCTCTCATTTATAAAAGTCTTGCTTCTCAGTTTTTTTGGAGGAAGATTAGCCCTGAGCTAACTGATGCCAATCCTCCTCTTTTTGCTGAGGCAGACTGGCCCTGAGCTAACATCCATGCCCATCTTCTTTATATGTGGGATGCCTACCACAGCATGGCTTGCCAAGTGGTGCCAGGTCCACACCTGGGATCCGAACCGGCAAACCCCGGGCCACCGAAGTGGAACATGCACACTTAACCGCTGCACCACTGGGCCGGCCCCCTTCTCAGTTTTGATGTAGAACTTGGGAGTAATATTAACAGAGAGAAAATTTGTTTGCCAGATGACGTGAATTCCTATTTTTTAAAAAATTAAGAGTAAGCTAAAGTAGTGTGGGTTTGCGTGCTGAAGAGGTAAAGCATCTGTAAGTGTGAGATGGTTGTGAACATGGGATATTCCGTGGTGTTTTCAGTTTTGAGTACTTGGCTTTGTGAGGAGTGAGGAAGAGAGAAAAAAGCAAAAGTAGTGAAAATGTGACCTTTTTGTAGTGGTTTTATTTGTGTATATATAATTTGTTCCCTCTCTGCTTTGCCTGGACCGTGGTGATTACTTTTGAAGCCTTTTACTCATTCATTCGTTCTTCTGCATTCAAGGACTTCCTACTCACATGAACTTTTCAAAATAGAGAATTTGGTCAAAGGAACATTTGTACAGGTTTCTAAGTATTTTTGTTCTGTGGAGACTAACACTGTATCAGATTTAAGAAGAAAAACGGTGTTCCTAATACAGTAAAATGGAAGAATAGTGTAAAATCATTTGGCATCTTTATTTCTGTGGTATATGTCTATTGATCCTAATTAGGTGATTTATGCTCACGAGACAGATGCAGCAATTCACTTGTACCCTTTTCTCATACCTGCTTAAGTCACCGTTCAGGATGAAATCTCAATAAAGCTGTGTGTAACAGATGTGGATTTCCATGGTCTGCTTTAATGGAAGCTTTCTTTAGTATTGTCACGTTGAATTGTTATTTTTACTTGTGTCTGATCAAGGGTCTTCTTTTTACTATCTTTTTAAAGACTTTTTTTGTCAACTACTTTGAACCTCGTGTTGTAATCTTCCTTGGGCTCATTTTCTTTTCCTTTTCTGTCTTCTCTTGTTGGAGTCATTTGAAATTAAGTAAATTCTGTATGTTTCTCT